AAGCAGTTAGCCAATTCGCTAGCGAGTTTGCAAATTGGCTGCCCCAATACTTCTGAGACTTGCTGTAAGACCTCTCAAAAGAACTACCCCGAAATTAATTAAGTGTTGCAGTCAGCATCCTTATTCGCATGACTTGCACCTATCACAACTGCATTTGCATGACATTTACATCTTGTCAAACTGTAGTTTACATGCAATTATAGAAGTCAAGCCTTTGAATGATACATCAGAGGGTATCACTGCCAGGGTGATTTTCAAACATTTTGATTCATTTTCAAATGATTTTTATTCAATTAAGCTTCAACAGAGGCACATCACTTTGGTTTTGAAATCATTTTACTTTGCGGTTCAGAATGTGAAACGACTCATTCACATCAATTTGCTATGAACATACCAAAATTAATGGATATATGACTAAATTACATAGTAATTTTGTGTTTGTTGGTAATCTTGTTTGTACAAATATTCAAATATGCATAATCTTAATATTGAACAATATAAAGTCAAAATGCAATTCAAGTAATGCATCAAATGCCTTAAAGCTTCAGGAAAAACTATTTAATCTCATTGCCATATTTTTGCAGTCATACAAATATTATTCAGCAAGATTATTGAATAGAGCATATCTCATGAGGGATGCTTGAATATCAGAAAAACAAAAATTTTCATTTCAGCAAAAAAATCAGATATTCACAGAGAGGACAAAAAACTACTACACTCTAGAGCATTCTGATTCATATGTACTTTCATAAACAATGATAACAAATTAACAATGATTACCCTATTGCGATAAATTTGCAGTTATTTTTTGAGCCATCACTACATTAACAGTTATTTTTAAGATATTGGGATATTTTGTCATACTTGGCCATAATGTCAAAAGTTCAATCTATTTGAATGAACCAATCAGATTGCTGGGATATTTATTGCATAGTATGGTGAAATAAAAAATTATTATACTGTTTATTAATTGCCGCGATATACTCTAAAACATGTCTTTTTCGTGAGCATGTCTTTTTAGCGAATTTAGTGAGAGAACTGATTCACTAATTCAAAATGTCGCTAATGACTTTCTTATAAATTCAAAATGGCCAAGGCTTGGGGATTTGTATACAGTCTTCCGGAACATTAAAATCTGGGTCGCTTCCTAATTACATTTGACAGTTTTTTTCTTTGTTTTTATGGAGGTGATAACTGCGCATTTGTTTTGGCATGCGACAGACAAGTATTGTGAAAACAGGAAATCAACAATGACAAGAGAGATTCGCTAAATCAGCATTTCGCTATTACTTCATTTTACCACAATTCGCTAAAATTGTATGTCGCTTTTTCAACATGTTTTACAGTATATATATAAACTATGAATACCCCAGTATATATGTAATCATAAAAATAGATCAGAAATAACGTATGCAAGAATGAATTCAGTGTGAATTGCATTTCTATTTCACGTGTGCATATAATGTATTTAAGTCCCCGTCAGTAAAAAGCACTTGGACAATTCAGTTATCGGTTCAAATGTTGCTTGTAATTTCTTTACATTTTAGTTGTGTTTTCTTTATTGCATTCCAATAACATGGTCACAATAACTCCAATTGCAGTAGAATAACAAACCCTAGTCGTTGTCAGTCAGTCAGTAAGGACGGATATATTAAGACAACGATGGTGTACGATCGTAGACTATGGTACGATCAAAATCACTTGTTGACATATCTCACCATTTCCGGATTCAGGCTGACCGATCGCTCCGGTAATCGCGGCAGTTGCTCCCTGCAAAAGCAAAGAATCAATTCCAGAATCTTTAGTTTCTCCTCCTGGGCTTTTCGTTGACATCGCAGCGGTTTTTTGTCACTGATATGGCAAAACTTCACAATTTTTGTTTTCATTTTTTCACATGAACGTCGCCATGTTGAATAAATGGAGGAAATATTTAACGAACGCTGGAATTGGTTGGTTGATACTATACTCCTATAGGATGAGGGGTGCCCGCCCGTGATGTGACATCCCAATTTGTTTAATTGGGCTTTTTATTTTTTCTCTTTTATTTTTCTCGACTTTTTTGTTATTGTAGAACACGCTGAAATAGCTGCATGCAATTTTAGCGGATTTGACTCTTGGATGAATCTCAATTTAGCTAAAGCGTCGACTATCTCTTTGAGAGAATATACTTTATGTTAAATTAGCTGCATCTTGAATTAGCGAAATTACAGATTAGCTAAATTAGCTAAAATAACATGCTAGCTAAAAAGATATGTTTTACAGTATTTTATTTACATTATTTTTAATTTATGCCTTGAATTCTATTGTTCAATTGTTTTAATAAAATCACAAAACATATAGGGTTACAGGTGGCAGCATGTTGCTTTATTTATTTTCATGCCGATTCTTCGCCAATATATCGCCTGATTTAGTTTAAGTTTCTCAGATGATGAACGGGCGATTTCATTCAAACTTTGTATCTTGATCATGCATATTGGGTTATAAGTGCGCGTTATATTTTTTGAGATATTATTTATGTCCTTGTCGATTCCTCGCTATTATACTACTATGCTATGGACATGGACTGAAAAAGTCGCACATTATTATTGACAAGAATCCTAATTTGGTGCAGATTAAAATATTTAAGTAGTAACGATAACCATATTTGTTGAATATATAGTATTATATATAATAAATTGGATCCAAATCAAACACAATTATTAACATTTCATCAGACTTAGAAACAAATTAGGTCCGGAAACTGACGACAGTCTGATCCGTACACGAGCTTTAATCTTGACAGCTCTTGGGAATACAAGGTAGTGCTTTAGCAATTATAAATGTCACCACTTGGTGGCGCTTCATTGGCAGTCGTTTTACAAGTCCTGTCTCGAAGTGCAGATTGTTTGCTGTCGTTCTTTATTACAACATATTGTGTGTTCGAACCAATGAAGTGGAAAATTACTGAATTGACAAAATAATATATTTAGTATATTTAGTTATATAAAAGTATGTATTCGTCTGTTATCTGTCAGCAAACTAAAGCTTCCATCAAAACCTTGAGAATACTAGTATTCAAAGTAAAGGTAAATAAACGCAAAAAAAGTGCAACCTCATGAAGGTTGTACATTGAAGTCTAAATACCGAACATATGTCAGGAGGAAGCTATACTCAAGGCTGGACCTGCAACTCTGAACATATAATAATTTTTAGGTAGCCTTCCTTTGTTTTTCTTGGTGGTTACATAATCTATATAAGTCTCCTAGGGCTTTATTCAATCCCTAGATTTGGGACTAAGGAAACCAATCAGTTAATATACATGGCAATAAAGAACAATTTGGTTAGTTGAAAAGGTAGGAGCAGGTATTAATATACAGATATAACGTTATTAATAAATTATAATAAAGTGTTCTTATCCAATACAATAATTAGCAGTAGGCCAGTCGTAACAATCCTTGCGATTACTATGAAATATGAATGGGAATACCTTCGCCCTGTCGTAACAATCCTTGCGAGTAAATAGATATGTCATATACTATGAACACAGCTTAGTTTGAAAAGAAGTGTCATTGCGATTATTAATCGTGACTTTGATAGATTTTTTTTTTAAATGGCAAAACATTCAAAATCAAAATGAAGAGTCACGGGAAAAGGGAGAAACTGATCACCTAATTAATCGAAACGATCCTTGTGATTTGAAATGCCAAATTTTGAAACAATCGGACAAGAAGAAATTTAAGCCATTTTAAATTGAATTTCTTGCGGAGTGCCAAATACTAATGCCCTGACGCATATTAAATATTTTATCAATGTACAATCAAAAGTTATGTATAACCAAAGACACTGTTCTAGTGTCTTTGGTATAACAGTAAGATGGATATATGTTTACATCCATTAACACATGCAGCTATGTAATTGAAGTTCTAAAGATATTTTGAAATAAATAAAGTATTCTCGATCCGATTTTTACAGTGTGTTTGACTGAAAGCATGGAAATCATTTCGTGTGTGCTATTCAAAAAGTCATCTAAAACTTCAATTTATTAATCAACACTTTAAATATTGAAGACGCTGCAGTATGTGAAGCATTTAGGCGTAACGTAGTAGACTAGATTTTAATAACTTGAAGGTTAGAAACAAAACAATAGAGAACAGACACTCACAATTGGACGTAGATGCCAATGCAAAAAGACTCATTAGAAGGAAATCGAATAGTCCTTCAACAAAAATTTAAAAAGATGAGTGGTTTCGATATTTCTCAAATGTTTTCAATAATACTAAATATGCAGATTTCTTTTCAAACGAAATAAAGTTTGTTGTTATCTTTGATTCAGATGAACCAGGTGACGATGATATTAATTGAAACACTATAGATAGAAACATTACTACTACAAAATACTAAATTGTAAAATGTTGCCCGCCATGCTGTATGACATTCCCGTATGTTAAGGCAATTCATAACAAAATACGTCACGTTCTTTTTCTATCGCCAACAGTCAAATTTTATCAATGAGAAAATAATATAGTTAAGGCTGTTGTCTTACGGGAAACATTTTGGCAAGCATGGGTCCAAAAAAGCGTTGGTAATTAAAACTTGTTTACATCTTATTTTTCGGGGAAGATGTATTGACATAACTTATACGATTACGCCTCGTTTATAAGGGAACTTACACCAGAGCCTTATTTATCATGTATCAAACCATTCCTCAGAACCCCCTCAGAATAGACATGTGTAGGTTTCGAACCCCGTCCCATACACGCTCATTAAAACGAGTCGATGTAACAGCAGCCCAAGGCAAAATAGGAAGTGTACATTATGTAATATGTAGTCTCAACTCATTCGAAGACGAATATCACTTCATGTTACTCTGTCCCCTTTATACTTACTTTAGAATGAAATATATTGCATAGTCCTTCTAACAAGAGGGCCCCCTAACAAATCTGTATAAATTGTGTTTCCTTTTCCCAGTCGGGAAAGTATAACACTGATAAATCTCTCTTGTATTTTTTTTTTTGTTTTTTTACAGTACGAATTTCTCAGACAATTTATTTATTTATTTGTTGCTACCCTTTTAAAGCAGGGGCTCACTTTTACAGGAGCTGCAAATTTAAAATGATACATTTCTTAAAATAAGCACAAGAAATACTGTTTTAGATCAAGAAAAATATAATATAACAAAATTAATATTAGTACAATAAAAATAACATTACAATCTACTTATTAGTGTAAAAATGTTGTTCTAAAGTCCATGGCATCAACTAAAAATTCTTTCATAAGTTTGTCTATGGTGTAACATATTTCTTTGTTATAACCTAGAGTGGTATCTCCCAGAAGGAAACATAATAACTCTTCGTTATTAGTTGCTGGAAGTTATCAGATAAATTTGTTTCTTTCATCTTCAATAACATTTCTTTTATTTCACACATTAAGTTGTCCCTTTTTATTTTTAAACTTGGACATAGCAAAATAAAATGTTCGAGTGTTTCTTCGTCTTTTTCACAACATGGACAAATTATGTCATCTTCACTATTATTTTCCCATTTTCTTTTACGAACATAATACGAACGATACGAACAAAGTGTAATATTATAACCAGGCCCGTAGTTTGGAGGGGGTTCGGGGGGTTCG